TTATTTTGGAACCACACCTTAAAGCTGCTCTAACCTTGTTATATACATTAACTACAAAGAGGTTTAGAAGAAAAACACTTCAGAATGTAGAATATTTTTTAGTCAGACAGTGAGCTAATTATTATGTATATTGTAAAGCTTGTTCTTCAGTCCTTGCTTGCCACCAGGTACGATTAAAGCCCAAGACTAAAAATATTACACTAAATAATGTATTATAGAAAATAATGACCACACACAGAAAACCGTTGTTATGCGATTCTTTCGTTGTTGTTCACCGAGTGAGTTTACCGGAGCCGCAAACCCCCTCTTCCTTGGCTCTGGGGGCGTAGGAATCTAAGGGCGGCAACTCACTTATGACTCATGAATTGCGGGTGTTAATGGGCAGCGATAGTCACTTGCTATCAAGTGACCGTCTGCTCGTTTACCTCATTTTTAGTTTTGTTAACGCTGGGAATGCTTTTCGCACCATACCCTACGTTGGGGAAACGGTCTACCCACTAAACCCCGCGTCCGCCTAGGGGAATTACCTTCAATATACACAATAAAATGTTAATTTTTTCTTGGGTATAAAATATCTATCGCCACTGGACACACTTTTCTACGTACTCTTAAATTTTTGTTTCAGTAGATTTCTTTTTTCAATTTATGCCAGTCCATCCGATTTTAACCGGGGTAAAGAAATAAAGCACGTCCGACAGTGAGCAGTTTGAATTAACCTTTCGAGTAGCCTTGTAGATTCGTGGCCCGGTTACGAGCGGGTCATCTACTAGTTAATATTCAAAGGGTCACACGATCACGGATTCCGTACGCGTCTCTGTTTCACCGAGGCTCAGAGCGAGCGTCCCAATACTTCCCTTTTACTGACTAAATGGACTACCTACGCTGTTTGTCTGTGAAATTAGACAATTTATTCAGACAAAACCAAATTTTCTATCCATTTTTTTAAAAAGGGACCTAACTGTTCTTTTGTCAGGAAGTGTCGTTTGAAAAATAGAAAACATAACAAACAAACATATTAAATGAAAAGTTTACTAAAGTAACTTTAATGCACCTAAGTTGTGACAAATTATAAGAGCTACTCTTTTCTTCAAATTTAAATTAGACCAAACTTGAGTACAATTAAAACAATTATTTTTTTTATTGAAATCGGTTCGCAAATCACAGCACACACAAAAACAGTTAAAAAGTGATAGATGGAGTCGGACTTTTATAGACCTTTCAAGAGTAAAATATGAAATAGTTATGTTGTAATCAAGGCCGTCGGAGTTCGACAAACCGACTTTCCCGTATATCTTCTTTGCTTTATCTATAAATAAACACGTCCGCCGTTTTGTAACATCCATGCGTGCCGTTCCCTGGAGATAACCTACGTGGGGTAGATAAGTGAAACTTTCTTGATAGTAAAAGGCTCGAGTGATAAATATAATTTTTCTTATAAGGCTGCATGTTAAAACTATCGCGTATGTATCGTCAGTATATCAGTGATTTATTACGAACGTGTTACAACAGTTAATATTAATAACTTCCGTAAATCAATAAACGTGCGTAATTACTACGTACTTATGTACGTAGTAATTACGCACGTTTATTAAATTGAGAATATGTGGGAGTCCACAATTCTGGATCGTTTTATTACTGTACAAATCTGATTTCAACGTTCATTACTTAACTTTTTGATCAAAATTTCATTCAGATTTTAAGGATTGTTCATCCAATTTTACGCTTGAATGGATTTGTTTCGGTTCTGCAAAGAAATGTTTCAATGTAAGCCTACACTGAAATAATGCGAAGAGGGATTTATAGGAGCGACCAGTCGAACTGAAGTAATTCACGACTGAATAAACAGAAATTTCAAAGATAAACCGAAATATAACTAATTGTTTATGTATTTATTTTTTGCGATAAAAATATTTATGTTATTATTTAATAAGCTTAGGTTATTTAATATAAACATTTATTGATTATTTACAAAAAACAATAGCAATTGTGATTCGAGATTATGTATGAATTCTAACGATATTTATTTTATTTTATTTTATTTTATCTAATAGGTACAGTAACAGATAACAGATTAGCACATACACAATTATGTTGACATATCCTATACGTTCAAAACAGTTAAGTCACAAAACTTACGGTAGAATAAAGGAACAAACATTACGCGAACCATCATAACATAATTCTCACAATCGGTAATTTTTCTTGTACAATATTTTAACATTGTTGTTGGACCGGTAATTATAATGTTTAAAATTTTAAATGCGAAAATTCAGTAAAACAAGTCTGGAGATTGCCGTTGTTGTCAGAGCTGTTACGATGTGATTTTTTTGTAAAATGCAAGCAAATTAATGACGTTGAATAGTAAAATACATAAAGACTATGTTTCGAATAATACGTTAGAAGCTTTTTTGTCCGCCTTTGTTCAGGCAAGGTAACCCGACAGTGCACCCTAGTGACGATCCTTTGAAAAAAACCAGATTCAAAAGCAAACGTATGACAACAAAAAATACGTAGAATACCAAAAAGGATTTTCATTGTACTTTGCAGAAACGTTTCATGTTCGAAATTTAAACTCTATGACACAAAAGAAGATCATAGTACTTTCAGCTTTTCTTTTTTTTACTTAAGTTTGCTTATACCCGGCCTGTAGGTGTGATACTATGGCTTGGTTTTTTAAATGTAATTCGACAAAAAAAAATCATGGGGTATAATGATTTTGGTTCCAGTATTGCATTAAGGCAAGTTTGGACCCAACAACCAATTATGAGAAACTATGTTTTAAAAGAAAATAATTTTATTAAGATGGATTTTGATACAGTATTTACTGTTCTTGCAAAATCTAAGATATGACTAGTTTTTTGAACAACAGGTTCAGAAATATTAGTTGCAGGGTCCAAGAATGTTAACGCTGATTCTTGCATTGGCAAATACAAGTTACTACGAAAAAGAAATAAAGAATCCAAATAAAACTTTTACACTATTTCACTAGCTGACCCGGCAAACGTTGTTTTGCATTATAAATTATACAAAAATACTAAAATCGCAATTAAAAAGTATGGAGTGGGGGTAGGTGAGAGAAAAAAACTTTACGATCTATTCTCATACCTATCAAATATATAAAAAATACATTAAAATCAGTCGAGCCGTTTCGGAGGAGTGAGACGTCGAACGCCGTGACACGAGATAAATGTATATTACATTAATAAAAAGTAATTTAACTGCATATTAATGTCTTGTTTTACTTGCTGTTTGGTAAATAATAATAATAACTAATAATAATACTTTGACACATCTCACACAAGAAAAAGTTTAATATCCTCAGGTTATTTCAGGCCGGCAACGTGTTTGTGACTCCTGAGTTGCAGGCGTTTATGGGCGGCGGTAATCACTTTCTATCGGTGAACCGTCCGAATAGAAGAGGGGGTAAACAATACCCCCTCTTCTATTAAAAAAAAAGGTTATGATTAAATAAATACCCCTTACAATTGATTTCCGACTTGACTCTCTTGTTAAAAAAAGACAACGCCCGCATTATTAATATATCCTGTGTCGCGGGACTTTACAAACACACATGAAACGGACACAAAGAACACCTAGACTCAGAACAACAATTTGTGGATCTCACAAAGGGTCGCCCCGTCAGTAGGAAAAGGCGTGGCGACTGCTTAAACCACTACGCCATCCATGTTAATATGTTATAATTAATATAGTAATTAAGGAAAAATCAGTCCTTTAAGTCAGCAGCAAGTCATTTGAATCAAAGAATTTAACATGACTTTATGCTTACACGAAATTATTTATTTAGTAAAGCTATTGATAACGTCGTGGGTATTATTATTAAAAAGAAAGAAAGATGTAGACCTTTCTAATTAATATGTTTCCAGTTCTAAAAGAACTCGGTGGAAGTTTTGGGTATCGCTCCATTCAAACAATAATTGTGACCATTTGACATACCTAAATAAAAACTTTTCACGAACATTTCATTGCCGATTTAATATTTTAATATAGCCAATTATATGAATTGGCTATAGTAAAATGATAAGCAAAATCAAGCCAAGGCTTTGATATGTCTGAGAAGGCCCACGATGCTTATTCGACTAATCAGATAGGTTTTACAAATTCGAAAGGACCATTTGACATCGTATATCGAATATTCACAAAAGATGTATGCTTTAAATATAATTTAAATTCATTCACAAATGAAATTGTTTACCGATGTGTACTTTTAAATTTTATTTACTTTTTTCTAACTTAAAACTCGGAATTTGGAAAAATGATAAGTTTACTAGTTTACGTGTATTCAGTATATTAATAAAGCATCTGTTAAATCCACATCCGTAAAACTTTTAAAGAGTTACCCGAGTACAAAATATAAGCAATTTTTTATTTACTAACATTTTCAGACAACAAATCTCCATTTCATTATTATAACTTTTAATAGACTTAATATTTTTATTCTTGAGAAGGTGCGAAATTAGCTCATTTCTCAGATCAAAGAAACATTCAAACGGGTATACGTAACAAAAACTAATTGTTAACCTAACCTAACCCTTCGAAAATAGTTCTGTACCGACGTACTTACATATATAATCTTTTTATTGTTACAGATATCACCGATGAGCGAGGGAGAAGAAAGGCCCAATCTGTCTTATAGACGGATGCCGTGAGGTCTACAAACAGTGGCGCACGACGTCGCCGTGATGAGCACAACCCGCCATAATGCGTCGGCGGCCATTTTAAACCGGGAACTGACGCGTTTGTCGGCTCGAGATGGCCGTCAATCGCGACATTCGCACACTCAACTCCTCAGCGCCCCCGCAATCTCATACTCTACCGCGTCACTATGAAATGTGGAAACACGGCAAGTGGCGACAGAAAACGTCACCACCAAGGACAAACGCAGCCGTTAGGGTTCCCAGATAGAAACTTTATATAGTGAAATCCTTAGAGGCCTAAGTGTTACTATTGTGTGTAAATATAGTGGTGTATAGATGTTAAGGATGATGGGAGACGGTCGAGGTGCGCGTGCGCCGTTGCTCGAGTGCGGCGGTGAGTTCGCACATCCGCACAAGACGTCGGCGCCGCGGTGTTGCTTCTGGCTGGCCAGCCACGTCAATGTGAGGAAATGCGTCGCCGGCATCATGTGCATATCCGTCCTCACAATATTCTTCTATACATATTATGTTACGGTACCGCTAACAAGGTAAGCAATCAACTAAAAGAGCTATTGTACGTGACCATGATATCTGTTATAGACATCGGGGGTTTTGATAGAATGGCAAAGTGGTAGTAGAACTACGATAACAACAGTCACAAAAATTTCGCCAACAAATTCTAAACACATGTTTAATGTCCTACGAGAGCAATAAATAAAATATTGCAGTTAAAGTCGCTTTCGACTTCACCGATGCGTAGTGAAACATAATCCACGACTACTCGTATGTATATAGAAAGTAATAGAGCTATTAAAGATTTTTTTGCAATTATTAATTTACTGTTAATGCACTGAAGACACGCTACTAGACTTGGTACTTTTTAAAGCAATTTAATCGAATTCTTATAAATACAATGTACATATTGACACGCACAACTGAATAATGTAGTTTTCCTTTCATTATAATATTATCAGTTTAAAGTCCATTGAAACTTGCCATAATTTAATTAATTAATATATGTAGTTCAAAATATGCGTCATTCGCATAAAACCCAATTTGCTCCCATATCGGGACCAAACACGTGGCTGATACGAATTAATAATATGAAATTATCGCTTTTGGACTGATCCTGTCATTATGTCACACTATTATTATATGAGTTTGAGAATAACTAAAAACATGTCGGTACTTCTCATATTATAACTCAGTCATATTAATATTATTTTAACAAGTTTTTTTGTTTTCGATCTGTTTATAAACTATCCCTCTGCTGTGACATGAGTATGCACTGAGTTGAAAAAGATTGACTAAAAATACGCTTCTGTTTAAATGAATAAGAGTAGTGAAAGTGTAATAGTGGAGTAGTTTTAGTTCATGGGCGGCGGTAGTCTTTTTCAACCAAGTGACCCGTCTGCTCGTCTGCCCGCTTACGAATTAAAAAATTAGAAATATATGCAGGTATCATCTCATGTTGTCTTCTCAAGACCAAAAAGGATTATCAACGTTGGTTTGACATCGTTAATTCATAAGGATCTTATGTTAAGCAAGTAAAGATCCTTTTGTCGAGCTCTCTTTTTTTAAATACTTCTCACATAATGTTGTATAGATTAGTTACATTGACTTACAAGGCTCTTGTTTTAGTAGGACCTCTTTCTGTGGTACATTAGACGTTCTTTGCGCAGCAGTTTCGTCATCATCTATTTTTGTTCAGCGTAAGCAAAGCGGTCGCTGTTCGGTCAAATATCGGGTTATCCGGTCACGCCTATAAAGGTTTGGCGGATATCAAGTTTAGTCACAAAACGAGAAATGTGTACATATGACAGAAACATGAAAATGTAAGTGCTCCAGTCAGTTTCTTTACAATGTGTATATTTTATTGCAATACCAAAAGCTTTATTTTGCAAAAAATTGGCAGTTAATGCCTACAGGGAATTGCTTTCGCGGAAGTATTAAAGACGTTTAACTTTGTGCCGAGCACTCTTGTCGCCCTTTGTTTGGCAGCTTTTCGCAGCTAAATTAGGACGAAGAGGCGAATATTTCACAGTAATTTATAACGTGATTTTATGTAATTAGGGCAGATGGCGTGTAACTAGGACCCATAATATTTTATTTTATCGGCTTAAAATTACACCGCGCGGAGATGAGAGGCAGGGGTTGGCAAGTTTCACCGACTCAGTTGAATTTATAGCAAAACTTGTGTTCTGGCTAATTAATGGAACCTGCTCCGCTAACGCGTTGTCAACTCGCTGATTTAAACGCATATTGTTTTATAAATGTTTCTTGACTATTTATGTGTAATTAAGTTTATCAAACAAATTGTCGGCATCCTTATTTGCATACAAATCACCCGCTCATTAATGCTAATCGGGGAGTAATTAAATTGTTTAGTTCAAGTACACAGCGAGGTTTGGGACGGTATATAAAAGCAGTATCTGGTTGGTCGGTATGTCTTTTAAGCGTCATCGTTAGAAGTTTCCTCTCGGTTGATTCAGGCGTGGCTTTCATTAAAGCAAAGAGGCCGCAAGACCCAGTCGCGGTGTACAAGACTACTACCGCCGGATAAAATATTTCAACAAATTCCTGCCTTTATTTATTTTCTCTATTGAGATAAACTTTAATGACGCTTTGATGTGGCCCACTTTTAAAGCTAAGTTTGGCACCCTTTGATTGATTTTCTTGTAAATTTCGTTTTGCGGTTCCTTAATACACAAATGCTATTGGGTAAGTTTTAATGATGGGCTCATTAGTCAGGTGTTGAAAAATACCTGGATTAGCGTTGTTATCGACGAATAAAAGTTTGAACTATGATTGCACAGGAAAAATCCTTCTGATATTCAGACAAATCCGTTTGAATTCCTATGGGTAGAAAAATTATGGTTAGGTAGTCACTATCGATATATTGAGGTGACATAGAATATTTACTAAAAACGAATCATTGACAAATAATTTCTTTATTCTTTGGTTTTTATATTTTTACTCATATTACAGCAATTTATTTTTATGTAGCGACATTTTTGTTCATTTGTTTATTTTCTTGTCTGTTGTTTGTTTTGTTTCAGTTTTAGTATTCCTCTCTTTACGATTATCTCGGTCTTCGATTAAGAAATATAGAGCATAGCAATATCAGCACTTAAATTGCACCCTAAGTCACAAGATATATTCCTAACGCGGGAGTTGTCTTTTAAAACAGACGAAACAGAATTGATGTCACGTCGTCCAATGAAAGAATTATCTTTCTATTTCTTTAAAAAGGTACCCATAAATAAATCTTGTGTTGTCCATGAACCATTACCGAGATGTGAATTCTTGTCAAACAAAAGCTATTTGTAGGAGCAATTATGATCGATTTTACTCCTCAGTTCAGTATATTACACGTAAGCGGTTCTGTAGGTTTCTACCCTAACAGTATAATACCCTAATAATAACATAAGCCTTTCACCATAGTATAAATTACTGAGTGATGATAGCACAGATTTCTAAGTTATGAATACTTTAATAATTTAAATGATTTTGTTTTGGCTGATTTTACTAAACCAATGTTTTCCATAGTTTGGTGTGGCGCGACCGTGTCCCGCGACCGTTGTCGCAGTGTTCCTTGCTCGCATCGCAACAGCAGGCAGCGCGGGACCACCGGTCCGACGCGCGCTTGCGCATCGACGCTAAAGTGCTCGTGATAGTCGAGTCGGCCTACTCGCGGTTAGGACGTGATATCGCCGAGCTACTTGTCGCCAACCGCATACGGTAAGTCTTCCTTATAATAGTCAAATGTATATTAGATCTATAAACTTAAAATTCGTGCCTGTGTCATTAAAAAAGGCAAGTTTTTATAGGTACTTATATAGGGTGTAAGGGACGCCGTAACGAATACTGAAATAGTGTATTCAGCCCATAATTCCGGAAAATTCACCTTTTTTTTATAATTATCCATTTTTTTGGTTAAAAATGATGAAAAATGATATTGCAATGAGTAAACAGAGCATTTTACCAAAAAACTGTACCGGTCAAAAACTGTAATAATCTAACAGCCAATCCCCTCCGGCCCTCCGGCGGTGTTAGTGTGCTTAGACTGTTTGCACGGAATACACATGTAGTTATTACTTTTGTGCGATACTCACGGGGAATGACCTTAACCTTTGACATCTGATTTCATAAAAAGTTTAGTTTTCCAGAAGAAAATTCCAATGGTTTTCGACTCAGAACAAAGGTCTGAATACACTATTTCATTATTCCTTAAGACGTCCCTTATACCCTGTATAGTAAGTGGGAGAGCCGTGCTTACCGTGGGAGAGAGAGCCATGCTTCGGCACAAATGGGCCGGTTCAACCGGAGTACTACTACGATACTACGGCCTCACATCAATCGGTGTTAAACAATTTCTTCGTTGCTTTTCACCAAGTTGAAGTTACCGGAACCGAAACCCCTCCCCCGAATAATAAACGATATTTTATTACTGTGTTATGCAAGTTTTAATATTATACTGGGTGTCCTGAAACACAGGCTCTGAGCCTAGCTTAGGCACCAGTCTCCCACAGTATAAAATTTTGTAATAGTTCTTATACAGGCTAAAATTATGTACATATAAATGTATTGTGGCGAGAAAATAAACAATTATTATTATTATACTTGCATAACACAGTAATTAATACCTACCTTGTAATCGACTGGCAAGAGTTGAAGGCCAATTCTCGTAATAAAAGTTCGGTCACAATTCAGTTCCGATCAACTTTTGATCTCACAACTGTCATAAAAGGTATTTTCGTAGTAAAATAGTGAAGTATTACTAAGACTAGCAGATTACCGATTCAATTTTCGATTAAAATACGATATAATCACATTACCGTCAACGTTGGATGTTTAATACTTTACTACGAAAATACCTTTTATGACAGTTGTGAGATCGAAAGATGATCGGAACTGAATTGCGACCGAACTTTTATTACGAGAATTGGCGTTCAGATTCGGAACGGAATGACGGAAATAGAACTCTTTAATGAAGTCATCATGTTTCTTTTGACGTCTATGACGCATTGAAAGTTTATAAATTAAAATCTTAAATATTTATCGGGATTCGGTTGATAGCTATATATAGGTTGATAGGTATATATATATATATGCATAGGCTAAAACTATTATTGTTTTGTAAGTATATAATAGTGAAATTAAACATGCTAAGTATCTATTTAGAAAAATTATAAAATTTGTTTTTAAGAAATATGTTAAAATATATCTCTTAAGACATTTATCACAAGATAAAATAAAAAATAATTGACCTCGATCATCATCTATTTAACACCTTCTCAACGGTATTATTCTTATGAGCCCAAACACGTTGTATCTACTGTTAGTTTTTGAGGAATTGAGCATCTTGCACACTATTTCATGCTACAGAATTAGTTCAAGGTTAAAATGACTTGTAAAGACTATCGAAGTAACAGTACACCAAATTTCAAATCAATTGGATCTGAAAAAGTTAGTAGTAGTAGTTGATTATCAAACGACTCAAGAGATCTCAGATCAGAACACCGCGTGACGGATTAAGACCACGAAGTGTGAACACCTCTATTAATCCCGTGGGTGACGTAAGAGCCTCCTAAGGGAGCAAATTGCGCAGCATAACAGCACTGCAAAGAGGAGGAAAACTTGACACCAACCCTATTCCAATCCGTGTGGCCAGCGTGGTATAGTAAACCAAAACCTCCTTTCTAAGAAGCGGAATATGTCCAGCAGTGGACTAATAAAGGCTGTTGATGAACAGATCCTCATAAATTATAGCTAAGATTTTTTTCGTTCTGGTCAGTGTTCTGTCCATTCGCTTAGGAGCTACTTCGATGGCAGACGGACACATTAAACTTATAACACTCCTCTTTTTGCGTCGAGGGTTAAAAAAAAAATGGAAATGCTGTCAATGGAATAGTTCGTATAGTGTATAATTACAAAAAAAAAGCATGAAGAGGACTTTCAGAACAACGAGATATTATCGTCTAAAAGTTTTTCTTAAATTATCCAATTAGCACTCCTGGGAGTCACAAGCGTTTTCGTTAAGAAGAAGAAACTTATCAATTTCTTGAATTATTTTTTTAAGACGTTCATTCTTAACGAGAATGGGACTTCACAAACACATTATTATTTACATAAAATAATTAACCTTTTTAGACCTCTTGGTAATAAATAGCGAGAAAGATTTATTTATCAGTGTTGTTATTAAATGATCACGATCCGCGGAGTCATAAACAGCGACTATTACCTATAAACACTCACGACACGAACCGAACGACATTCACGTTTCCTCTATGTTGCATATACAATCCGGATCCGACGGAGTTCTAGCAATGAGGATAGGCATCGGCACATAATAACGCTACGGAATGCTTAAATAGGGATGCCTGATTTGTCGTATTGATAAGTAATATATTGATTACAGTTTAAAAAAAACGAAAAAAACAAGCTTTTATACCTAATCGAACTAAAAAGTAGGAAATAAGAAATAATGATTTTTCTTTTTGAAGTTATAGAAAATTAGTGCCTACTTTTTAGTTCAGCTGGCTACGAAAGCGTGTTTTTTTAAAACTATACTTTATTTTGCCTTTTTTAGTCATTAATGATGATTATTATCTTATTAAGACCTAAAAAAGGAACAAGTAAGTTTCTCACATATGCTTCAACACACTCCTAGGTACGTGAAAAAAGACACAACCGTATTTTTAAGTATGGGAAATCGAATGGAAATATTTCAATTTATGTCGACGTTTTGAAGTGGGTCAAAATTACGTTTGAACGTGATTTTGACCTACTCCAAAACGTCGAATTATTTTCGTTATTTCCGATTCTGACATACATACATACCAAGCTAATAAAAGAATGTTGAAAATGGGACTGATCAAGATCTTTGCTTTATGGTAATGGAAAATAGTCCAGTGTGACTTATATACAGTGACTGTTTGACACCCAAGAATGGTATGGTATTCACATAATAATGTGTGTTTATGCCGGTGCCCTACATTATAGCTGAAAGTGGTTCAACATTCTTCTATTTCAGTTTTACAAAAGCTTTTGTGCTATTATTTCACACATCACTGACCAAATAAACTCCCCGATCGTCCAGTATTAAAATGTCCGTGTTTATTTACCGGCCTGCATGTCGTCTCACGGGCCGCCGCCCGAGGACGGCGACGTCATGCGAGACTTTTTGCTCCTGCTCGGTTAAAAATCGCTTTTTTTCTGAGCCTCAGTGAGCCGGGTTTCACTGTGCGCTTGCTTATGAAATGTTTGACGGGCCAGGAATTAGATTTCATCCTGATATTTTTTTGTGCAAGTTCCTCCTTCATTTTGCCTTGTCTAATTTATCTAGTATCCTATCGGCTGAAGAATGATTTTGATAGGCAATTTAATTTTAAAGATAGTAAATATAAGTTTGTTTAATTTGTAAAATTTTATAGCCAATGTTTCGGCTAAAACGAATTTTGAAATTATTAACTTATTGAAGTATCTTTAAGATTTACTTATGAAAGGTTTCAGCTCTTCTTTCAAGTGTTTGACTACACGTGTGGCGTAGTAGTTTAAGCGGTCATCTCGCCGCTTCCTACTGCGCTAAGTGTTGTTAGGCTGAAAATTATATATTATATACATAATCACATAAGAATTAATTATTACCTATCTTGAATAGTCCTAAATGAACATAGTAGTAGAGTGCCATATATTAGTTTGGTGTTTTGGACGTCAATTCTAATTGCATGTTTTATTGCCCAAACATTATAGCTTTTAAACAAGTATTTTAGAATTTTTAGTTACAAGATTTAAGATATTTCTTTTAAATTTAAGATACTTTGTTATATTATGCCTTCATGGTATCTGAAAAATCAGTGAACTAGTGTTATTCGCAATGAAGTTAATAGGAGGTTTAATATGCTACTAATGGTTTAAAGTAGACTTGCAACGAATAGTATATTCGGCAGTATACCGAATACCGAATATTCGGCGAGGCCCCTGACCGAATAGCCGAATATTAGGCAAAAGTATTCGGCTGGATTTTAGCGCCAAAAACTTGTACAGACGTGAATTAAATTATGTACCTGTTTTATGTACCAATGACTACTTAATAAATATAAAAGAAATGAGAACCTTACCCTTCTAAATTTTGATTACCACAATAATTCAAATACATAGAATCCTCCATTTTTCCTATTCAGAAGATGATTATGTACCTGTATTATGCACCAATGACTACTTAAATAATTATAACAGAAATGAAAATATGAATATATACGTAATCAATCGATTTTAATTTTTCATTTTACCAATTATTTCTCAATGACAAAATATATTATTTATGTATTCGGTATTCGGCCGAATAATTATGTAGATATTCGGTATTCGGCCGAATATAATAAAAGCAGCCGAATACCGAATAGTAACCGAATATTCGTTGCAAGTCTAGTTTAAAGCTTGTTTGTTTGTTGATTGGGCTTGGTTGCTGCCTTATCAATAGAACAAGATTAAATATAATATAATTAAGAGTCTGCATAGTTACACCAAATAAGGATACGTCGTATATTACATATCAAATTTATCTTTATAGGACCTCAGAAAGTACGCTAAGAATTTCGATGATCATCAGTGAGTCAGTGACAAAATCGTTTTCTTTTTTAGATATCAATAAAATCTAATATAAGATCTATGCAATTAAAAACTTTATATCCAATACTACTGTCCAATATTGACATTGTATCCCTAGAATTTTGTCT